CCCTCTTTGCCCCCAGACGTCATGGCTGAGCGTGTATCTCTCCCTGCTCCTGGCCAGCACAGCCCTTGCCGTTATCTTCTCCGTCATTGTTCTCCGCCTACATCACGTGCCCGCCCACATCCCCGTAGGCCCCGCCCTCCGGAAGTTCGTCATCAGAACGAGGTCAAGTCTGCTCCTCACGGCGCTCGAAGAGGCAGACGAGAGTAAAGACGCCTCTGATGGAGCTCATCAAGTGAGTGAATCGGATAACCGATTATAACAAAATCAACTATTTTTCGCCACTCTGGGTTGTAGAATAACTGAATACATTATCATTATATACTGACAATCCGATTTCCTGGACTAACAGAAGTCGGGACCGTGTATGTGTGTGGGGGGTGGGGGCATGTGTTCTGAAACTCAGAACTTAGAGAGACATGAACATGTATCTTAGCTGTTGAAAAACTTCAATACAAAATAACAAATATGTTATGTTAATGAAACAAAGGACAATGTAAGTATAAAAAGCTTTAGCCAAAAAGAGGGAAATCTTTCATGACTTTGGTTTCTCTTTTAAAAACCGGAAGGTGGCTGCCTGAAGGAAAGGGGCCCTATAGCAAAAAAAACCCCAAAAAACTAACAAAACAACTGGTGACATGAGTAAAAATTTTGCAGGTTGAAAAAGAACCGGTTACGGAATATCTGGTGTGCGGGGAAATCCTAAAAAGTAGAAGACTTTAAAAAAGAAAAAACAATTATTTCCCGTCCCCAGAAATATTATAATTTCGGCAGTCAGGACAGCAGTGGTATTTCCGGCGGAGGTTTTGGCGGGAAACGGAACGGCAAGATCTTCCCGGAGGAACGCCCCCAGACGGCCTTCACCTTGGCCGACAACCTCTCGCAGGACGGGCTGACGTCAGCAGACGACGACGCCTTGGAATCCAAGCGGCCGGCCCCTCCCCCGGAAGTCGTGGTGACGTGGCAGAACGTGGCGGAGACGGCAGACCGGATGTTGTTCATATGTTTCACCGTGTACAACGTTGGCTGTACGGCCGTCTGTGTCTCCTACTTAACGTTTGCCAGTCCGTAACCATGGAAACTTTTCTTTTTTTTTAAATAATGTTTTAGTTTTAGTAAGAGTTTTACGGCACTTGCAACACAATAAGGTCATATAAGAGCCGAAGAATAGATTATGTGTTACAAGAGAGTAACATACACAAAAGAGAAGGAGGGGAGATAAGGACAATAGGTGTTTGATAAGAAAAGGGAGCAAACCACACCAGAGCACCCGCCAACCATCCACACTATAGAATTTAGAAACGCCCTTTTTTCATAATTTGCAATTTGAAAGAGGAAAAAAAAACAACATAAAAACATAGCGGGTGTTTTTACACCCCCATCAACACAATTTTGATCATCTAGGAAAGCGAGCCTCCGACCCCGTCTGCTCATCAGTTTCACTATTTTCGCCGTGTACAACTTTGGTTGTACGGCCGTCTGTGTCTCCTACTTAACGTTTGCCAGTCCGTAACCATAGAAACGAAGCGCTTTCAACATAATACATGTATTTGCAATTTGAACCCCCCCAAAAAAATTGCAAGAGTTTTTACGTCACCCTCAACACAATTTTGATTATCAAAGAGGTGAGCTTCCTCCAACCCTGCCTACCACTAGGGCCAGCCTGGGATGAGAGGGACACGACGCAATTTAATGTTTTTTTATTTTATTTTTCGTACGAGTTTTACAACACTTGCAACACAATTTGTAAGCAATTAGTGGCAAATATTAGATGAGTAAGTGTAAGTACAAGAGAGAGTAATACTAGATGTGTTACTTGAGAGTACATAATGTAACACTATGCAGTTGCGAGCGCCGTAAAACACCAAAACAGAGTAACAAGCAAAGAAAGTGAGGAGGAGAGATAAGGACGACAAGTGTCGGGATGAAATGCATTATTTTTGAAAAGTTAAGAATATAAAGAAAAGAAGAAGGTATTAGGTATTGACGGTACGATGAAGTAGTGGCGCGGGTATTTTAAACTTTGTTGGAAGTACTCAACCCCGCAAATTTCATACGTGTATTCAGCGAACCCTTCGAGTAGGTACCGACGCCTTGTGTGCGTGTGTGTGTGTGTTTTCGTATATGTCTGTGTATGTGTATGTATATATATGTGTGTGTGTGTGTGTGTGTGTGTGTGTGTGTGTGTGTGTGTGTGTGTGTGTGTGTGTGTGTGTGTGTGTGTTTTCGTACATGACATGTCTGTGTGTATGTGTATGTATATACAAATACATGTATTTGTGTGTGTGTGTGTGTGTGTGTGTGTGTGTGTGTGTGTGTGTGTGTGTGTGTGTGCGAGCGCGTGTGTGTGTGTTGACCTCCCCTAACTCCTGACTCTGACTGACTCACCTTACCCCTGGGTTTCGATCGAACCCAGGTTAATGAACCACTACACAATATCACAATCACACACATACACGTTCGAGCGAAGATCTTCGAGAGTGGTTATCCCATCACGAGACTACAGGGTTGCACCTCATGCTTGCTCGTTGTGATTCTTATTTCATTACCTACCTGTCTCCGTGGTTTTATGCACCCCGCATAATTTAGCAAAATTTGATCAATTTTTGCATAATTTCTGATTATTTTCCTTTATCATTCTTTGTTAAAATTAACAGAATCGCATAAGTTCCCATTTTTGGGCTCAGTTTGCATAATTTCAGAATTTTTCTTGCATAAAATAAAACGACGGGGACACACATAGATCTACACACTCGATTGAAATCTTCGAGTGTGATTATCCCATCATTAGACTAGAGGGGTAGCACCTCATGCTTGCTCGTTGTGATTCTTATTTCATTACCGACCAAAACCCCATGGAGCAAATATCATCTTTCTACTTTACGTCATTTTCATGAACTTACGCCACTTTCAAAATCGTTCTGGTTCATTAGGAATTTTTGACAAAGGGGCAGGGTGTTGCCTAAAAAAAGCTAGTGTGTCAATCTTTTATGTAATGTAATATGTCAAGCTGAGAGCTCAGTTGGAATCACACTTGATTAAGCTGCAGAGAACCTTGGTTCAAATCCAAAATGCAATAAAAAGCAACTCAAGGAACTCAGGCATAGAAACCAAACATGAACATTTATTTACTTTGCAAGAACACGCTGTGTTTTGTCCACTACCCATACTCTGCTGATGCCACAAACTACACATGTGTTGACAAAAGCACAAGAATAAAACTTTTTTTAAAGAAATAAAAACTCATATTTTGTTTCATTTCTTGCCCGATATCCTCACCTAACAGAGCCGAGTATCAAAAGTTTCTAATGCACATTTACCAAAAAATGTTAATTAAATCCACTTCCAGTTTGTCGCATGAGTCCATTTGGTCGCTTTTAAGCACAAGGGGGCTATCCTGATAAATGCTGTTTTGAGAAAATCGAAGTTAAAGTATTTGGATCCTTATTCAGTCTCTTTAAAAGACAAGGAAAGTTTTCTCTGTAATAACCAAACAAATATACACACAAATGAAACCAAAATTCTCCTATAGTATAGGTAGGGCAATGCCCCCTTTTGGTGTAGGTCAAGATTTCTGGAAACCCCAAAAATCTGGGTCAGCCCATTTGTCCTTATAAGTGACCAATTAAAACAAAACAAAACAACCAGGAAGGTCCGACTAGTTCTAACAGCAGTCATTCAAGATCAGCCTCTCGTCAACTCAGAACTATTTTGTCCAAAGTGTATTTATTTAACACTTTGCAGTCACACAGCCAGGAGTACAAAACACTCCCCATCTGGTCACACAGCCAAGAGGGCGACTGCAACGGACTTCTCGGGCCTGGCACAGAACTGCGCCGGGTGACCGGAATGGATAATTTTCACCGTCATATTATTGCACCAAGTGGCCGCAAAGTGTTAAGTACAGAGGCATTTTGGAGAAAATAGTTCCGAGGCGACGCTCTGTATACAGGGCGTAAAAATCCGTCCGTGCACTAGCACCAACACCAGAACTTGGTGAGAGGGAGCAAAGCAAAAATCACAAAGCATTGGCACGGACAAAAATGATGGGGAAACAAAAAAAATAAAAAGGTAGAAAGGCATGAGGAATTTGTTACAGGACACATATGATAAGTGATCACGGGGAAAACTTTGTTATGTTCATCGACACTGAATCAAATATGGATCCATTAGTTCATTCATTCTTTTCTCAACTTTATTTATTCCTTATGATTAAACTTAAAGACCCTGAAACCCGAATTTACATATCATTTTCTTCTTGGAACAAACAAAGTTACACCTGAACTGACAAACACACAGTATGGCAATTGGAAGTCTGTATATTTCTATACACTCAGAGACGAATCACAGTTTGTTCATCCGCATGAAAGAGGGGATCAATAAAGAACAGCAAGCACAATACCATCACATAGCAATTCCATCTTTCTTTTCTCCACATACCTCTGAAGGTAGGACATACACAAAATCATCATGGAAGTTTTCAGCATATGTAAACAACAAGACAACCAATCATTACCGTACCCAAAATCCACAAATTTCTTAGCAAAAGTTATAGCAACAAAGAAAAACATAAACCATACTCAATCAATATTTAAATATCAGCTGCAAAAGCCCCCCGCCCCATCAACCACTCTCTCTTGACTATCAATGAACAACATCTGTGTCACAGGCCAAGACGGAAGGGAAAGTGTATCAGCTGTTTCAGTCTCTCCAGATATTATAATTATTGAAATCTTAGCTGTCCAATTATCGCGATAATGTTGGGGGTAAAATGAAAGATCAATAACGCTGAGTGGACTACAGACCAGGTCAGTGACACGTCCACTTTCTCTCACACACAAAGAACGGGTCACGGGGTCACACTTATAGACTATGCAGGCCACATGACTTGTAAGTACTGTAACTGAGAACGGATTCTCTAACTTTTTCTCAAGCTCGTATGACCATATGCAGCTGCGAGCGCCATAAAACTCTTTTCAAAAAAGAAAAAAAAAATGTATCTTTCTTCCACACTCACACAATATTCGCCCACTATGATGATTTGTCAGTTGCATGAATAGAATTTTCACTCGGTGACCACTCAATGGCTATCAGAAAGATCCACTCGCTTGGCAAAGCACAGAAAGTGACTGAGAAGAACAGTCAGACAAAACATGTTCACACAATCAAATTGTGTATTCAACAATGACAGCTCTCAGTCCATGATGAAAAATATTTTCAGACACTTTATACACAAGCAAATGTGAAAATAAGCACAGGAAAGATGGCAAGGAAACATCAAGTCCATGAAAACAGGATTATAGGTAAAAGTATTACCCAATAAAAGTACTTTATCTGACCTTTCCACTAAACGACTAAAGTTTGCCAAGATCAAAATTCAGGGCTTTAGAAATACCAAGACAAGTTAAAACTCAAAAGTCAGCAGCTGATAGATAAAATATATATTTCTATGAGTCAGAGAAGCTTATATACTGACTCAAGTCATTTCCAACACACCAGCAAATTAAAAAATGCTCTAAAAACATCCAGTAAAGTACAGTTATCTGTATTTAAAGATATAAAACGATCTTTTTAACTGATGAGCATCATTCAAGTCTTCTGACAAATATAAACAGATGCATAAAAATTTACTTTTTCACCACTACCAAATTCTCATCTTGTCACTCCCTGATAGATCTATACATTATATAACTAAATATATATATATTACACATATAAAAACAGTACGAATGTGTCAGCTTCAAACATAACAACTTGCACGTCTATATTTAGGACACAGGGGTGAGCTTTCCGAAAAACACACTGGATACGTCGACATCGATGGCAAATTCTGTGGTTGAGTTGAACACACCCATATCTTTGCCTTGAAATATCTCCGTCAACTGAAACAGAAGCAGGCAAGAAGGTTAGTTGTAGTTTACTTCAAGTCTGCACAGCAACGGCCGTGTTGATAGAGGGCAATCTTGTCTCTGGCATTCTCAAAACATGTCCAAAGTAAGTTTAAGGCAAAAAAGCATGATAATGACTACAGCGCACTAGGGATAGATAAGAACAACAGAAACTCTGAAAAGAAATAGAGAGACTTGACCACATCGGAGTATCAACCAACCAGCCAACCATCCACAACAACAGAACCACATCATCATTTTTCAAAATACATTGTGTGCAGTTTTTACAATTTTACGAAAACGGAATATTGTGCGTTATCAAGAAAGCAAACCCTCTGCCAACATCCCAAGACAATGTTTTTAAAAATACAATTTTGATAATAACTTTCTCATTATCTTAAAAGCAAATGTTGTTTTATTGGTAACAACATTCAGCTTTTTCGTTCTTCTGTAAAAACTGCGTATATATACTGTATTTTTTAAAATGATGGCAGACCAGCCAATGTCTCACCTTGAAAGATGACTTGCTCGAAATGGCCAGGTTAGAGAGGTAGAACTTGACCGTGGTTCCAGACCCTCCATCATTCTCGTTGAGAATTGCCAGCGCGTAGCTCCCCGCGGGCAGGACGGGGCGTGTCCACACTTGGATGTTGCTCACCTACAGACAAATAGATAGGTCAAGGTCGTTGTAAGTCAAGGCTTGTCAAATTGCTCGACTTAAACACTCTTAAGTAGCAGATTTATATGTAATATCAATGGTCAGGAATTCATTTTTTTTAAATTCTGCTAACCCTCTGAAAACTGAAACATACATATAATACAATAAATGTACATGTTACATATATGAATACATATGTTGACAAAATATCTTAGCTGATACTTGATAAATAAAGAGGGAAAAACAACAGAAAGAAAACCTGCCCTCCCACAACTACCAGGAAAACTGGGGCGGGGGTCTCCTGTATTTTTTCTTATTAAGGTACATTCTTTGTACTTAAAACATGCACAAAGCAAGATTTGCACATTACGAAAAGGTTTCTGCATCCGCTCCTCTGCTCTGATTTCACTGTGTGCGTACTAGACTGTAGAAAAATCCATCTTGCCATATATCGTAACAGAAATAGCTTTCTCACCGCAAAGACTCTCTGTCCCATGATGCCCAGCTTGTCCTGATTGATGGCGATGACGCCCTTGTGGAGGAGGAGGTCGCGAGACTCGTTGCTGATGGACCGCAGGTCTGACGAGATGAACAGCGGGGCGGCCATCATGGCCCACAGCGCCATCTGTGCCTGCTCCTCCGAGTAGCTCAACCCGCGGTTGCCCACGATGATCTGAGAACACAGACACAAGATATAGTTGGAGGCTTTTAAGCGCAAGGGGGCTGGCCCGAAAAATGCTGTTTAAAGAAAATCAAAGAAAAAGTTTTTTTTTACCCTTGTTCAGTTTCTTAAAAAGACAAGGAGAGTTTTCTCCATAACTAAACAAATATACACACCAATGAAGCCAAACTTCCCCTCTCGAAACGCCAATGCTCACTTTTGGTGTTGGTCAAGGGACATGGACACAATAGCATTTTGAGCTGGGAAAGAAAGACAGACAAAAACAACAGTAGGATAGAAAAAAATTAAGACCTACCAGAGATACCCTCCGACGACCACTCATGGCAAGGAAAAAGACCAAGACAGACAAAAGTGGAGAAAAAAGTACCGTACCAGAAACCTTATGAACTACTTAAACCCGAGCCACACAGGTAGAACCAACCCTCCCCCTCCCCTCCCCCAGGAACTCACCATATCGGGATCGTTAAAGTTCCCCGGCCCAGCGACGGCGCTAAAGTTGCCTTTGTTGTCTCCGTAGAACTTGATGATGGTCTTCACGCTGTCCCACGAGTCGGCAATGTCGTCATAGTTACGCCAGATGTTACATTTCTCCGCGATCAGAGGATAATTAATCTGAGGACAAAAACAAAATTATTTATAACTATAATTGTTATTGTTTGCTATGGTGAAACATGCCTTGTGAACTTCAAACATGAATGTGAACAATCAGATACGAATGTGAACAGTCAGATATTAACATTAACATTCACTCACACATATGTACAGAGGTACAGAGAATATACATGCATTTTCCAGGCAGGGGGTTTAAATGACTCGAGATATCAAACTAATTTGAAGAGGATACAAAGGATTATAAATATCAAATGAGATCAATTTCTTTTTCTTCTCTCTTTTTGTGTGTGTATAGAGCCCCAGAGCGGATACAATAGGTTATAGATAGGAAATCTATAAGGTGAGGAAGAGGGGGGAGGGAATCAAAAGACTATCAATATCAAAGAAATGGGTGGGGGGGGGGGGGGGGGGAGATAGACTATCAGTATAAGATTAATTTGAGGGGGAGGGGTACGAAACACTATCAACTTAACATAAAATCTATTGTAGGATCTATTGTTCACAAGATAATCAATATCAGACAGAATTGGGTGTACCACTTACATCCTTGGTCTGCATGTATGCTGGCCAGCTACAGCTGAAGAGGATGGGTCGGCCGGTCTTGTTCAGGTAAAACTCCATGATAGGGTACGCTGGAGAGAAGGAAAAAGGAGACACTTGAGAACATGATTCACCTGAACAGATATATATATATATATATATATATATATATATATATATATATATATATATATATATATATATATATATATATATATATATGACACTCTGGGATTACACACAATCAGAAGTAAAGAAACACAACAAAGAGTTTTTGCACACAAAGACATAAATTCTGTGAGAACACAATAACAAAACAAGAGGGAGACAAAAAAGAAGCTTGAGGATAACTTTGGCATTTTTCTCTTCCTTTTGCTAATGTTTTCTGAGATAGACTTATTGAAAAGACTCCTAAACTCCTTCACCCTTTTTAGTTTAGTTTTAGCTGGACTTTAGAGTTTTATGGCACTTGCAACACAAATAGGTCATATAAGTGCTGAAGATAAAAAGAGTTTCTAGCAAGTAACATACACAGAAAACAAAGAAAAGAAGGAGGAAAGTTAAAAGCAACAAATGTTTGATAGAGAAGAGGAACCCTCCAATAAAAATTATGTCATCATCTCAATAAACAAATATAGAGCCTCCAGACTGACACATTTAAATTATTTCAGAATATGTCGTCTAGTAAGGACTACAAAAAAAACCCATAGAACATCCGTAAACAACTTTTGCCGGTTAGCAAAGTTAAAAGAATCAACACTGAAACCAGTCATCTTTACATATTCAGAACACTCATGAAAAGAGTTGACAGCTGACAAAATTTGTAAATCTCCTCACTCACCAGTCGGGAAATCAGCTGTTGTAGAGTAGCAGCCATCCATCTTGAAGGAGTCGATCCCCCACTCACTGAAGGTGCGGGCGTCTGTCTCCATGGTGAACTTGCTGCCGGGGTAACCGCCACATGTGTAGATGCCCATGTCCCCATAGGTGCCCAGTTTGAGACCTTTGCTGTGTACCTGAAAATATTCATATATGTTAGTTCATAGAAGCAACAGAAATGTGGTTTCTTAGGAGAATGCTGAGAATATCGTGAAAGGAAAAGAAATCAAAAGAGGTAGTGCTTGATGAAGCTCACGTAGGACAGTTTTTGGGACACCTGAATAGACAAAAGGTCTTGAACATCTAGCTCTCACTAGCAAAACTGAAGGCAAATGAGGCAGGGGTAGGCCTAGCCAGAGCAACCTACTTAGGGAACCTAAACAAATGGCTAAAGGGGAAAAATCAGGGAAACGTAGCTTTTTTTAAGAGCATCCAAGCAAAGGCTCTCAAATTTTGAACAGCTGAATCCAGGACAATCTAGGAAATTCCGGACAGTTTTCAAACTAGCTGTCAATGGCCACTTTTCTAACAAGTTTAAATCATTAGAGTGAATATCTTGTAAAAGTACATCGGGTTGTGAATAAAAAACCACAACAACTCATCGCACTCACATAATCGGCAAGCTTCTTCATGCCGCTGGGGAACCGCACGGGGTCTGGGACCAGCTGCAGAGTTTTGGGATCTCGTTCCTTGAGAGCCCAACAATCGTCGATGTTCACATACTCGTAGCCCGCTTCTTTGTAGCCGTCTGCTGCCATACGATCAGCCATGTCCATGTACAGACGTTCGCTGTTGGTTGAGGAATTGAGTGGCGAAGTAGAAAAAGACACGAAAATAAAGAATGGTCGTTATAACCCGTGAGGTATTCAATTTGATTTCCCTTCCTTTTCTCTGACTTTCTGTTTATATAATTGGTAATAGCATTTCCAAATCTTGCTGGGAACAAAGCCATTACAGCAGGCACATTTTTTGAATATTTTTTGGTATTATTTAGACACTAATCAAGTTCAATCAAATTGACAAAAATAATTAATAACTAAATTTTCATACAATATTGCAAAATGTATAGCCTACTTACTAATAATTTCATTTAAAAATTAAGACTATCATACTTCACCTGGAAGGCAGAAAATATTATATATGGAACTGGTAATGGTAATATTATTGACTGTTAATTAACTTAATTAATATTTTTTTTTACAAAGTTGCATTTGAGACTATATTAAATGTCAAAGAGGCCTGACTTCAACCTTCATACAAATCTTACTTTATAAATCATAAGTCACAGTCAAAGTATCCTTTTCTGGGGCCGGGGGGAGGGGTTGCATTCTAAATGAAATGACTGTACACAGCACATACAAAAAAAGTGCGGCATGAAGTTCTTATGTTGTGTTTTGATCACTTTCCAGTTTGAGAGAAATAAAAGATGAAGTGTACGAAGGTGAGGGTAGAGAAAAATAGAAATATAAAATAAATCAAAGAGTGGCAAAATGAATGGTTATTTAACCCTATCCGTACGCCCTGGGGTCATTTTGTAACCCTGTGGTTGTATTCTTTACATTTTAGAACACTTCTAGTGCAAAGATCCCTTTGAAACTTTCTGTATTTCTCAAAAAATCATTTTGACTGACTGCTATATAAAGCGTACGGATCAGATTAACAATCAAATTTCCTCTTTGAAAAGTGGTAGCACATGGTATAGTTTCCCACGTCATATGGATACGATAGTAAAACATGACATAAGGATAGGGTTAAGAGGGTCACTGTGCAGAAAAGGGAAAAGTGACTGTGACCTGAAAAAGGTTGAGGGGATGATAAGGAGATACAAAATGTATAAACATTTACACAGCTTCCTGTCCGTCACTGACCTGATGCAGTTCTTTGGGTCATTCTTGCAGTCGATGTTACAGCGGAACCTTTGCCATGACAACCAGCCCATAGGTGGAGTCCTCGCGAGTCCATTGTCCAGAGCGGAGACACACGCCACCGCGATGAGGAGAGCCAATAACTTCAACATGGTTGTCTCTGCAGAAGATTTCAAAGTGCAAGTTGAAGCCACAGCCACAGAAGTTATAGCATTACATTATTCATAAAAATCATTATTATTAATAATACAGACAATCCTTGCCTTTCAAAATGTGAATCAAGCACAGAAACTCAAAAGGCAGACTAGACCGTAGGCCTTAAATACTTCATAAAACCTTGGCCTTGGCTATGCCTATTATTAAGGTTACAATATATCACTTGAACATAGATCTAGTTTTGATTAGTCACTGCTAATTAGTTCTCTCTCTCTCTCTCTCTCTCTCTCTCTCTCTCTCTCTCTCTCTCTCTCTCTCTCTCTCTCTCTCTCTCCTCTGGCTCTATTCTCTCTTTCCTCTTTAGTTTTAGACTCAATACTTTAAGAGTAGCGTACCTCTGTTAGTATCTAGAATATAAATCTAGTAGTGCATTGACAAAGAAACAAGGCTAGACCTACAAACAACGATAAAAAAACAAGTACAATTTAGATCTAGATCTATACTAGATTCTAGATCTAGATCTAGAAGATTGTTTAGTGAGTTTGTCAATCAAAAGTCAACATCAACACTACCAGGAGGTGCCAAACTGCCGACCACAACAAGACAAAGGACAACGTGGAAATAACAACAAACATATTCAAAATCAAGAAATTTCCACAGAATTCAATCCTTAACTCACACTCAGGCTTTCAGGAAATAGTTTACGGTCGGTTGGAGCGTCTCGGAGAATACAATCAAAGCAAACAGTTCCTCTTTCTTTAGTGATACTGTCGACAAGAAGCCGAGCATCCACACATAAAGTCATGTGATTTTGATTCTATCATGTGACACAAACCGGTGTAAATATAGATTCTGGCCTAGTATTTTTGTGTACGTCACATGCAAGCCTTACATAAACTTCTGAGAGAGCAAGACAGGGGCTATCTGGACAGGAAAAGTGTTGAGACAGGATTAATTGAGATTAGCCCTTTGGTTAACCTTTTTGTGGTAGCCTGCTGTTGGAGAGATACATCAAAACCTTGTTTAAGCGGGAGCTAATTGAGAAATGTTCGAAGGGGGATAACCAATAGTTAAAACTATGATGAATATTTATTTTAAATGGATTAGTTCCCTTGAAAAACGTTGGTCCAACAAAAATTATTGTTTGTTGATGTAGACCTACGAATGTGTAATACCGATGAAAACTTCCTTTCAAGGTCTGTCCCTAGGTATCAGCCTTGGACAGACTGACTTGTAAAGGGGAAGACAATATTATTATTATTATTATTATCATTATTTCTTTTCGAGGTCCACATTCGTTAACAGTTTGAATCAAAACGAATTGTCGGTAGCCAACAGAGCCAAAAACAAATGTATGATCAGATCAATTCATGCGTTCTTATCCAGATGGCTTAAGAGTTCCTCCAAATCCCTCTTTACGAAAAACAAACAAACAAACAAAAATTTTCCATTGTAAATTATTTCTAAAGCAGATCTCTTGTGCAGTCATTTTAAGGGTTAGGGTTAATTCTGACATTTTTGTTGGGGCGAAAAAAATTACGGGGGTGGGGGGGGGAGTTTTGTTGTTGTTGTTTTATTGGTTTGTTGTTGTTGTTGTTGTTGTTTTGTTGCTGTTGGGGTGTTGGTTTATTCTCTGTTTCTTCTTTTTTGTCAGACATGACCACACTAGATGTAAGTCGGATCTGCTTGAAAGATATCCGGACAAAAGTCAAAAGAAAGTGGGGAAATCCAACCTTTGCATCATGACTGATGTTACAGTGACTGAAAGATTTCCCCTTCTAACGGGACGGGTACAGACACGAGGGGCAGATGTATAAAAGAGCAGGCTACAGCCCAACTTCATGTACTGAACTTGATTGATAACGGAGGAATTCCATATTTTGTTTATCAATCAAATTTGATGCAAGAAGTTCAAATGAATATCGGTCAAGAACGGTTGATAGGCCCGTGGAATTTGCTGTGAGAGGTGTGTTACAATAAACTGTCTCAAGGTCGAGATATCTAGAGATGGTTCTCCAAATTATTTCCATGCAGAGTCAGACCCTTTCACTATTGCCTCAAGGTCGAGATATATAAAGATGGATCTCCAAACCATTGTTTTGCAGAATAATACCTTTTCACTACTACTCTCAGCTCGTTTAAAAGACTTCTTTATCAAACATGTCACATACCTCCATGTTATCTTTTTACTGTTTCTTGTACCAGGAGATCAGCTGCGCGGTTTACTTGCTCAGGAACTCACCTGTTTCTTCCTTTATCAATCATCGCCCAGAGTGCGTACAAGGAGACTGGAGATATCAGATAACTCGCCTCTCACTGTATCTAGCTCAACAACACAGACAATACAAATAGATATCTTCCTCTTCTCTTATTAATCGCTCTCTCGGAATAATAAAGTTCTATCTGACATTTTTGGTCGCTTTGAGTTACTAAGACTATAAATATAGAAACACAAATAATATGTTCTGTCTGCTTTATGAAAATCGTAGATTAATCGAAGACGTTATCAAGATATTCACAGAACTGCATTCGAAAAAAAAACAACTTGGCATTTGGTGAAACTCGAAATCTTTGACGTCAAATTTCTCAAAACTAGGTACTGAGCAGATATAATATCTTTGTAATTCTGGGGTAGCTTAAAGCTACGTGGTGTATAACGCCATAACAATTGTTATCCCCTCCTTGAAATAAAACAAACGACCACTTACATTAATCCCCATAAGATTATATCTAAGTCACAATGCAAGTGCACTGCGTACAGACAGAGAATACTTCAGAGTTTCCGTTTCATCATATCAGTGTGAGAGTAGGAGGTAAACACAAGGAGATTAAAAGGAAGTTCTAAGCTCCTTGAGGTAAAAAGTACATGTATACAAATTATAGGACCATAGCACATCACCAGGATCTGCTCGCATAATTATAATCTATGTGGCTTTCAAATATCGCCAATAAAAAAACCAGCCATGCTGATAAAGTGATAATAATAATATGTACTTGTGTTATACATGTAGTCTACCTTCGACGTACTTGTCAGTAAACGTAACGAGTCTTCCAACTTTCTTCCACTTTCTTGATCTTAATCCCTGGACTCAAGAGTTCAATTTTCGAAATGACCCCTTGTAATCTATGTTTTTGGTTATTCAAAAGTCTGTTAACTCCATCAAAATGGTCCAGAAAACCCAGAACCCTTCCTTTTTCGTTTATTATAAGCAGTCTTTCCTTTCATCCCTACTTCACCCACTTTTCCCCGTGCAGAGGAATGAAGAATACCCTCTCTCTCTCTCTCTCTCTCTCTCTCTCTCTCTCTCTCTCTCTCTCTCC